TATAAGCCAAAAAACAATAGAAGAGGAACAAACCAACATCAAAGAGGACTTTACACAATACTACCTACAACCTATTGAGAATTTTGATGAGCAAAGAGCGACTCTAATTAAACCATATGTAATTTCAAAAGCAACAGGAACCAATCTGCAAACACGATATATTAAGAACTTTGACAACCTTGACAACCAATTAGTAACCACAACACTGGATATGACTGACTATGCTACTCAGATGATATTGGAAAAAGGAGAAGAGGAAGAAGACCAGACTGAACTGACGATAAACATGCCTAACCAAACATGGAGATCTGAATTATTAGGGCAACAACCTAATAATTACAAAGGAGCTAGTCCCTTTGAAAAATTGATAACTGGATGCTCTCCGTTGACTCAAATGATATGTGTAGGAATGAAGGGAGACCTATCTGATGATATAGAGGTCTGGTATGGAAGCCTGCTTGGCACAAAAAGAAAGCTAAAGTTAGATTTATAAATGGGATTTAAAATTACATTTAATGGGTTAAAAAGATTTTTAGAGATATTGATTGAATAGTTAGGATTTAGATTCATAATGGAGATGAAAACTAACTGTTAGATCATAGTTTTGAATTGTGATATGGAAAAGGTTTTGAGACAATGGAAGATACTTTATTAGTAATTGGGGAGTTACTAGGATAAGAAATAGAATATATCTGTGAAATAGAGTAAGAATGTAATTTTTGGAATAATATGGCTATTTCAGATATGATAATTATTTTATAATGGAATGAGAATAAGGAAATGGATTCGTGAAATGGGGAGCTATTAGGACAAGAAATAAAATAGATTTAGGAAAAGTAAGAATGTAACTTTTGGAATAATATGTTTATTCAAGATATCATAATTATTATGTAATGAAATGAGGGAAATTAGGGCTACATGAAGTGTAAATAATATGGTCATTTAAGGCTAATTGGAATATGGTAATTGGAATTATGTAAAGCTTAAAAACAGGACATGAATCTGTATAAGTAAAATGTTATTGACAAATGTATTGATTGATTGAGCTCCATTTAGAAATGTATTAACTTTAATATGTTATATTAATTAAGGGAAATAGAGAGGAAACCTTTAAGGAGTTAACCTGAGGAATATATGTATGACTTTGTTATTGGATTATTGATTACCCCATCACCACGTTGTTTCCTAAGCACTTGGATGTAAAAACTGGAAAATTAATAAAACCTGTTTAAAAAGAAAAAAGAAATAAGGATATAAAAAAAATTACATTCTTCATATTGTTGTAAATAAGGATCACCACTGAACTAGAAAAGGATGTTTCGGTTATTGGAATATTTTAGGTTGAAATAATATATAACACTTGGTTTGAATAATGTACAAGAAGCAAAAATAAAAGAGATACAAAGGAAAGAACTATAGGGTACTTAATCTGTTGCGATCTTGAAAAAAATAGAATGGAGAAACACATAGAATGGAATATGATGCTGTGCCTAAAGGAGTATTTTTCAAGCAGCTCAGTCCAAAGAGAATATTCACAGAGAAAGGAAGACAATAAGCAACCACCAACAGATTTAGCTACTTTTGTACCTCATTTCTGAAAATTGCAGTTGTTAAACATTCCCATCTACATGATGGAATGATGCCTTTTTCTATTGCAAAGTTTATTGTTAAACATATGGACAGTTCAAGAAAACTATAAAACACCAAACTTTTATTGTTATGAAACAAGCATACAGAGGTGTATATCATGATGAATAGAGGAAAAAACAAGATCAAATCTGAAACATTTATGAAATATTGACAATATCAAAAAGGTATTTTGAGCAGTGCCACTAATGGATACATGGGTAGCATCCACATTATATATCCACTGATGGAGCCACATACCTCAACAACATAAAATCTTATTCTATCCTAATCTCTAAAATCTACTCTAGGATGCTGAGGAAGAGATTTGGAATACAAAATGGAAAGGGAGCAGAAATCACTGAACTTTTACAGTTACTCAAACAATGAATCTGACTTGTGCTCAAGGTCTTTGTAGCATCTTCTGTATGTTAATTAGAAGTACTCAACAATTAATTGATTTAAAAATTAAAAAAAAACTAAGTACCTGCACTGCTGGCAAAAGACAATTCATACATTCATTTTTTCCCATCAGCCCTGTGATACCATGTTTCCCTGAAGATAAGACTGGGTCTTTTTTTTTTATTGCCTCCGAAAGAGGAACCAGGTCTTATTTTGGGGGGAAGGGTGCCTTTTCTTCTCACCTCCGGCACCAACAGCCCCACCTAGCCAGCCCACTTCTTCTGCGGCTGAAAGAGCAGCTTCATTCTGCAGCTCAGAATGGAGCTCGGGCCTGCATCTCACACTCAGGCCTTTCTGGAAGACCTCTGCAGCTGATAATCAAGCAATGGATTCAATCCATAGCTAGGTTCTCGGCTGCAGAAGCCTTCCGGAAAGGCCTGACTGCGAAATGCAGGCCTGTGGACGCCGCAAAAGTGGGCCAGTGAGGAGAAGCCTGGCTGCAAGGTAAGTGGGTGTGAGGCACATGGGGCAGCTCTACCCCCCACCCCAGCTTGATTTTTAGGCGTGCGCCTCACCCCAAAACTAGGGCTTATTTTTGGGGTAGGGCTTATATTAGGCCCACCCTTAAAAATCAAGCTAGGACTTATTTTCAGGGTAGGTCTTACTTTCGGGAAAACATGGTAGGTAATCTATACAATGTTGGTTTATCTACTGATTTATTTACCAGGCAACCCTGGGTGGATAATAAAACTTAAAAACATCAAGCAAATAAAGTGGGCTACATATGAAATGTTTTTTCTCCATGCAGATCAAAAAGAATGTGCTCAGCAACATTAAATGTTAATAATAACTGTTGATTGTTTAGAAAATTCTGCCCAGAGCTATATACCGTATTTTCCGGCGTATAAGACGACTTTCTAAACCCTTAAAATCTTCTCAAAAGTCGGGGGTCGTCTTATACGCCCAGTCGTCTTATATGCCGGAAAATATGGTATTGCAGTTAGTAAAATAGAAGTGGTTTCTGTTTAGAACAATGAGTATGTATCAACACAATTTAGTGGGATTTTGAGTGGGAATTCTCACTGCAACAAAGAGCCTTGTTTAAATCCTCCACCTGACCACGAAACCCAGGGTATAACTTTAGTCAATTATTAAGTAAAGGAGTCCCTGCGGATTTTATTCTGTTAGTCTTTGTTACTATAGACGGTGGTGCTCATCTCTGTTCCAAGGCCATTGTGGGCTCAAACCTGGGCTGTTGGCTTTCCAGCTGAAAAGTCCAGCACACTGAGCCACCTCACTGCCCAATATTAGATAGCTGAACAAATTAAATTACTGAATGATGGTTGTGAATACTTATATTCCATCCATCTTCACGGTAGTTTTTTTCACTTGATTCACCTTGGAGATGGATGGCATATAAGTATAATAATTAATAAAAATAAATGTTTTTTTTAATTTACTATCTTTAATCTTTATGAAGTGAAAAGAAACTAGAGCTAGAATTAGACAATGTGGAACCTTACAATAAACGAAGTGAATGGAACTAGAGACATTTGATAAAGTATTAAAATTGTACACAATGTGGATAAAGAATTCCAGTCATTTTTTTCACATTTTTAATTATAACCTATACTATATTCTAGGTAGCAGTATTGAATGGCTTTGTTTGGACTTTGTAGGCAGAACTGGTTAGTAAATATTTAGGCAGTATGGGAGATCACCAGGAAATTCTGAGATTGTACACAAGACTGGGAAATTGACAAAATAATTCTGAAGAAAATAAGGGCAAACCATTTGTATTTTCTTCCAAAAACAGCACATGTAGAGCTAGGTGAACAACACTAACTGAAGGAGAGTTTACTGAATACATATCTATAGTGTATTTAAGTACAAAAATATATGATGGTCCCTGAAACTATATTTTAAACTACAACTATAAATAAATATGTGATTCCCATCCTTTGCTGGGCTTTAAGCACCCATCTCATGAATAGGAGCTCATGATCCTTTTGTGCCCATCAGGATTTTTTGTACACAAGTTGATTATGCTTTGGCTTCTCTTACTCTACCCCTTCTCCCTAAATGGGTTAAGGTTACTGATCAATGTAAATCTATTTACTCATACCATAACTGAAACAAGAATACCACATCAATAGATTTTTAACTTAGTGCCAGCCAAAAAAGAGCCAGACTAATAAACAGAATTGTTCTTTAGAAATTTAACATTTTATTATTAACATTTTATCTTATTCTACAAGAAAATAAATTTCCCGTCGCAATTGATGGTATAATGTATTCACTTCAATAAAAATGCAATTCAGAATAACTTAAATTGTGCACATTGTTAAATTAACCAAACTTTGATTAGAAAATTATAAATCCTTAGCCACAGATTCCTGCATTTAACATATTTTGGTTTGAAGCATTGCTTTTAGTTCAGAATGCAGCTCAGATCATTTACTTATTTTTGGAAGTCTTAAAGAGAAATATGGTTTTCATATTATAAAGCACTATTTCAGTGTTATAAAAAGATTCTGTGCACCTATGTTCCCATTAGAAGAGCCATATCACCAGAGACATTTTAAGAATACATTTGTTTATATTTTATTTATTTTAATGGACTTAATAGACCACTCCAATTACGAACAATGCACGTGATATGAACCCTGGCTCTTGGAAGAAAAATCAGTAGCTACATTGCCAAATGAATTGTAATTTAATTATACCAAATTCACAGGATAAAGTTCTTATGGAGGTTAATTAATGCTTCATTCATCACTTTTAAAGTTCCATAAATGTCTTCAGCAGCTATACAGAACTCAGCCAGGTGAATCATTGAAACAAATGTAAATGTTAGACTCTTCAGTCCTGAAGAAACAATTATTAAACTACATCACTTAAAATGAATTAAAACTAAAGTATATAAACAATTAAACATTATTTTTACATAGCAGGAAGAGTAAAAAGCTTACCGCAAGCTGCTACAAGGCAATGTGATGAACCTGAACACTGCCAGAAAAACTCTCAATGGGAGGAGAGTGAATACATAAAGGAAAGCATCCAGGCACAAAAAGATTCCAAAAATCATCAACTACAGGACAGAAAGAGAAAGAGAAAGAGAGAGAGAGATTATTACATAATTATATAATTACATGCAGAACAGATATGACTGTAATCATAACTATCTTCAACAAAACATAAAATTATACGTCAATACAAAATTCTATTTGAGGCCTGGCAAAACCAGTAGATTTTCACAATTTCCTACATTTTTATTAGAAGCTAGGGAGAGGCACTTCTCCAGAGAGGAAATTCCAATTTTACACCAGAGAAGGAACAGTGAAGTTCTCATTTAGCAAGGTACTATTTATATGGAGAGTAGAAAAGAAGTTGGAACACATTCAGCAAAAGCTCTCTTTTTAAGCCGCTGGCACCTGAACTTTGCAGATTTTCATGCCTTCAGTGACCCTAATCTTCACTCAGGAGATGAAGTGCTCTGAGACATTGTCTCAGATCATCAGCCTTGACCTTCTATACATGTTACAACAGCTATGAATTTTACAGAACTCACTTCATATATAAACATCTTTCCTCCAGACATTTTCTTCTTATACAACCGGATAACATTTTGTCTATTTAGAAAACAAAAATCCACATCCAAAAGAATTGTAATCACAGACTTCTGATTTGCTGTCACGAATGCTGCAGACGCTGGAAGGCGAGCTCCGTCTTCCGCGTTTGATTTCGCACCACTGGGGGGTAGAAAGTCGCCCTGTAGGGGCGACAAGTAAGGAGGGGACCCCCCCTTGATTGCAGGAGGGTGGCAGCTTTCCACTTGATCTGGGGCAGCCCTCCAAGCCGGCGGACGAAAGACTGGCCATAGAAATATGGCCCGTCACTAGGATGCAGACAGTCGAAGTCAAACTTACCACCAGGCACTTCTAAAGCAGCGCGGATGAGACTGGGTGAGATCTGAACCTCTCTTCAATCCTAACTATCTTTTTTACCTGTATAAGCTACCCAAAGTATTTTCCCCCCTGTGGAGAGAGGGAAGGGAAATCCTACCCCACCCTCTAAGAGCAGTGGCGACTGACTATCCAGGGGAGTTTAAAACGTTGAAAGAATAACCTTATTTTAACTGGATTTATATGTTTCTAAAATTTGGGGACCAAAAGATTTCTTACCCCTATTGAAGATTTGAATTTTTACTTACAAAAAAGAAGTAAAATTGGGAAAAGAATTATAAAAATTTTGGATTTAAAAAACCTTAAATGGCATTGGTGACATCTTGTGGCTAAATCTGATACTACAACCTGTTATTGTCTAAAAGAGACTTGGCTTGAAGCCCAGACTACAGATAAGACTCCTTTAACCTTGGCAGATATCAGCTGTGAGATGCTCAGCTGTGTTCTATACTCAGTGATAAATTTATTTCCATCCCTGATTGTAAAGCTTTTAATTTAATACATCACTAAGAGAATATAGATGAAGATCAGGAACAGATTCTTTCTATGTTGAAAGCAATTCATGAAACTATTCTTATAGCTTCTGACGAAATAAGACGCTATAGAAAAGAACAAGATGTCAGCCTAGATATTCAAACCCTAACTTTGACTACAATTAAAGAATCAACTACGCAGAACAAATAGAAGAAGTGGAACAATCAAACATTATAATAGAGAATTCAATGGACCAACAAACACAGTTAATGGAAAACCCACAAAAGGAACTGATAACACTGAAAATGGAAAAGACTTACTATGTACACCAAAGAAATCTGAGGAGCAAGAAGAAGAACAGACCGAAGGGAAGATAAACATTCCAGGACAACTATGGGGAGATGGAATAATAGAGAGACGATTTGTTAGTCCTTCCAAAAGAATGGTGATTGGATGGTCTCTTTTATTTCAAATAATATATACAATAACAGAGGGAGATCTATTCGCTGATTTAAAAGCACGGACATGGAAGGCGAGTTGGCAAAGAAAGAAAGCTAGAATAAGGCGGAAGAAAATTGGGGTTTGGATTTATTAGTGAGGATGTTATGTCATTAATTAAAATAGAATATACTCAAACAGACAAGATGTGTACTTTGAATACTAGATTATGTTATGAATTGAGATAAAGAAAACTTTGGTCATTTAAAACTTAGAAGTATAAATATCGAAAGTTAAATTTGAATATTGATGGGAAATTAAAAATTGGGGAAAACAAATAAATAGGATATTGATTGTCTATAAAGATTGAATGTAAAAGTAATTAAGATATGTATAAGCTAAAAAAATTGATAAATGTAATAAACATGTCTTTACATAGTTGATAAAATAAGAACTGTATTAGTTTAAATACGAGATAGTAGATATTAAGAGAAAAAGAGAGGAAGTATTTGATGTTGAAATAAGGGAAATTTTGGTCATTAAATTTAAGACATTTGGAAATTAGTAGAAAATAAGAATGTTATACTGTATTATCAACTAGATGATGTAAGATGGTGAGAAATAGAATATATTCAAATAGATAGGACATGTATCTTGAACATTAGGTTTTGTGATGAATTGTGGTAAAGAAAACTTTGGTTACCTAAAACTTGGAAATTATAAATATTAAATGTTAAATTTAAATATTGATGGGAAACCAAAAATTGGGAAAAACTAATTACAGGATATTGATTGTCTATAAAGATTGAATGTTAAAGCAATTAGGATATGTATAAGCTAAAAACTATTGATAAATGTAACAATGATATTTTTACTTAATTGATATAATAAGAATTGCATTAGCTTAAACATGAGACAGTAAATACTAAGGGAAAAAGAGAAGAAATATTTAATGTGGTAGTTTGAGATTTGTACTAAAGACACTTGTATGTTGTTGAATTATTGATTAACCCAGCCGCCACGTTGCTTTTTAAATACTTAAATGTAAAACTAGAAAATCAATAAAACTTTAAAAAAAAGAATTGTGATCACAATTCCTACCCAATTCCTAGCATTTTTATACAATCCCTTTTCAATCAATCAATCAATCAATCAATCAATCAATCAATCAATCAATCAAATTTCTACCCCTACCATGTCACTAAAGAGACTGGGTACTTATTGACAAGTTGACTTTGGGATCCAGTTTCCATATAAGCCAAATGTATACCTTAGCCCTGAAAGGCCGGATCTGATCCTTGGTTGTACATCTTTGGCTGAGAAAATGTTACAAAAATGTCATGCAACATACAGGGTGTAAACCAGTAGATATAGAACATATTACAGTTCTATCAAGGTTTTAGCCAATTAAAAACATACATTTTTCCCATTAGTTAGATGCATAAGTTTTCTCGCACCTATGACACATTTATGTATCGCTTTGCATACATTTTCTAAATCAGGTAAGATTAGAACCTTCAAAATAAGCAGCACAAGTACTTGAGAAAGAAGGCACATTTCCCTTCCTAATATTTACAGCAGAAGAAAGTAAACATTTTGAACAACTGCTGATAATACATCTGGCTGCTACTATTGTTTTCTTGAGCCCACAATTTCAGTTATAAGTCAGGACAGTCATAAAGCAGGTCACAATGTGTTTCAGTGTTAGCACAAGAAATAATGCATATAAAATTAACAATCTTGTCTCTTATTTAATCTCCTTCAAAAGCCTTCAGTGTTGGTGGTCATCATCATATCTTCTGATATGGTCATGATCTCTACAGAGGATTCATTTCTGGAGGATGAGAATAAGTCTAAAAATCAATCTGAGGCTAGCATATGTCCAGATCCTAGGTTCATCTAGTAGGAAAGAGATGGCCTCCGCAGGCCTAGGTCCTGTATCCACTGATCCTGATCAACACGCCTCAGAGCCAAATATATGCTGATAGGGAACAATTAGAAGGTTAAGAAGCAAACTGTACGATTTACTCAGTAGTTAATATTACAGGTAACCCTCGACTTACAACCATTTATTTACAAACAATTCAGAGTTACAATGGCACTGAAAAATAAGTGATTTATAACTGGTCTTTGTGCTTAGGACCTTTGCAGCATCCCCACGTT